TTCTAAAATAAAAAACTTTCATCTTAGGAAGCTTCCTAATTAAGAAAACTTTTCATTTTAAGAAACTTTCCATTTAAAGAAACTTTCCATTTTGGAAACCCTTTCCAAAACAGAGAACTTTTAAAATTGGAAACTTTTTCCAATATCTTTACTTCTTATTCATCATGTGAATACTTAAACTTATATATGTGACTCAATAGGCTCCTAGATAAATTGACAATGTATCGAGAACAAAAGACTCCTCTTTTATCTTTTGATACATAAATTAAGATTGGCCTCTAAGCAAGGTATCATGATTACCCAATTCTCTAGGAGGATTAATTAATCCATTATTATCTTTCACGAGTATGGTTATCATATAATTCAGATCCTCATGTCAACTTATCATAGTGTGATCTCGAATTTGGTTATAAGTCTTATTCAATTATGATCACATAAGTTTTTTTTAAATTTTCAAATGTCTTAGCTTTTAGAGTAAACCAACTATGCTATATTGGTGTACTCCTATTGTGGTCATATATTTCTCAAGCGTACATTTATCGAAATGCAATATGATAATTTCTTTAGTATACAAGGAATGACATGTTCTATCTCGATCATACACCTAACTCCATTAGATTCTTAATGCACCCAACAAATCACCCACGTGCAACCCTTTAATGGGTCTATCAAAATGAGTGTCGAGTGCATAAGTTCTCTAATGAGACAATCGTGATGACTTCAAGTCTAAGGATCTTTTGTACTCATCTCGTATGAGATTTGTATAGACTAAAATCAAATGGATTCTCATGACAAGTTAAGTCCAATGATATGTTCTCTAACATAAATCACCTAAATGCTTGATTTGGCACCATCATGCCAATAGGTATGAGATCTCCTACTCGCTATCATATAGCATAATTATGGCACTCCTAAGTCTATGCACATTTAGTTAATGTCCATTCTTGACAATGTTACAACTTGAGATATTTAATGATATCGTTTATATGAATTAATGTTTATCTCACATCTTTCGATCAACCACTAATGCAAATGCATATCATAAGGACTTCTATCTAATTCTACTAAATTTACCAACATGAAACACAAGAATTAATAGAAAGAATTTTTTATTATAATTAAAATAAATGATGCAATAATACATCAACTCAAGCCCATCCAAACATGGTTGGATCTTTGGGCTCCTACACTAACAAAAAATGATTGCAAACTTAATAATGTGTAAGGTTAAAAAAGGAAACACTTGTTTATTGATGAAAAAATTTGCTAACAAACTAGAACTCTTTCTCCAAACATGATATTTACGAATGAATTTAGTTCTCGAGGATTACAAACATGGATTGCTATTACAAGATGGCATCATGAAGCCAAACTATCAACCTACAAGTCCATCAACTTACTCGTTAAGCCTATAAGCTCGCTACCTAACAAGTTTTAGATGTTTTGAAATTTATGAAAGTGCTACGATGGCATCTTGTTGTTGCCGGTGTTGTTTAATTTATTATTGTGTTATTGGATATTTTTTCCCTTCTATTACAGCTTGTATTTATAGTCCTTTAGTTATTTTATAATCTCTTATAGTGTTTCACATTCTTTTACAATCGTTCAAGTCTGTCTTGCAGTGCTTCATATTGTCTTGCAACTCGCTACGATTGTGTACCACCAGTCTTAACCTTTCACTAGTTTTACGCTATATTATTGTCAATCTCTTTATTGGTTGTTACAAAAAATTATCTATCATGTTTATATCATCCATCCATATCAATTCAAAAGTCCATGATCCATAAACTCCTCTCCCAAAAGATGTTAATTTCTTAATTATCTAACAAGCTTGTTTTAGATGATTCAGTTTATATGTTGGCAAGCCTAGACAAAATTTGGACATATTGCAAGCATACCAATGTAAATAATTTTATGTTTTCACAAATTATTAATAAATTGATTAAGCAAAAATGGAGTTTTAACTCCATTAATAACAATACTTTTGCTTTTATTCGAAGTTACAAATTTGACTTCTCACACGATAATGAATCTAGATTTATAAACAAGTTTTACTTTTGCATTAAACATATGTTGTATGATAAACACATATGAAATTTCAAATTCCCAATCCAAGTCCAAACCTTAAAAAAGTCGATTTGAAATCGAATCAAGTTTATTTTTAAAAAGGATTATCTTGTTTCAAGGTTTAGGCCTTTCTGTTTTTATTCTTATAAAATGCCAAGAAAGTTTCAACATTTTTCTATATTTATAAATTCTCACTTATTGGTGTCAAAATTTTAATATAAAATCTTCCAACATCAATCTCAAGTTTTAACCATTGAGTTGTGCCCCTAAACTTATATCAAAAGATGTAGAGCTGAAATTATCACTAATGTTAAATGAGGTGATGATTTTTAATATATTCTTTAATTTGGATGTGAATGACATATGATCATATAAATAGAAAAAAAATCAACCGAAACTTGATTTATTACGTCTAGTCGTCAAATAAAGATGCCGATGTCATTCAATTTATCGACTAATTTGAGTTGAGTTTTGTCTATTTTGATAAAGGTTAAATTGAGAATGTAAAAAATTGACTCGGTTTGAAACAAATTAAGTACGAGGTTGGTGGTTCATCCATTTACAAATAGATACTTATTATATATATTTAATTAATTTATTAATATCATGTGATTATTATAAACCCTAAATAGAAATAAAGTATCCAATTTTTGCTCTATTTAAAGTTTATTTTATAAATAAAAGAATTTCTTTACACTTCTAGTATATGTATTTGGATTTTTTTAAAATTACCACGATATCTTGTTAAAGTTCTTTAGAATGTTATTTTTTTTAGGCACGCTATATAAAAACGATACATGTTTTGCAACAATTTTAAAATAAAATAAAAATAAAAGAAATTGGGTTGAGCAATAAACAATATATTTTATCAATTTAATTGGAATGATTCAAGAGTTGTTGATAGATAGGATTGGATTTTCAGATTTTTTATATCAAAAACAGTATAATTAAACATGTAAAAAAAACTCATCCCGACATGATTTATTGTTATTCCAAAAAATTATTAAGTATATTAAGAGTTGGACTTCTTTTTTCACCAAAATATAAAACTTACCATCAAAATTACTCATGAACTTCAGTTTAGTTTTATACTAGGTTTTTTGCCCGAGCTACGCTGCGGGTAAGATAAAATATATAAAATCATTTAGAAAAAATATTTTAGTTTGATAGTTTGTTTTATAGTGTGAATGTATAAAAATATATGAAATCAAAAATGAAAAAAATATTAAAAATTTTTTAATGTAATTTGAAATTAAATGGATGAGAATTTTTTTTAAAAAAAAGACAAATTAAAGTAAAAACTTTTAAATAATAAAAATAATGAACAAAAAAATTCATTTAAAAAGAAAAAAATAAAAAATTGTATAAATTATAATGATATATTTAAAAAATAAAACATTGGCATATTCATATATTAAAAAACAAAATTGTTAACAAATAAAATTAAATCAAAAAATTATTTTTATATGAATTGTAATAAGAAATAAATAATTAAAAATTCAATTTAAAAAATAAAAGTGACATAAATATCATTTTAAACTTTAAGGAAAACTAAAAAAATAATGATATATATATATATATATATATATATATATATATAGAGAGAGAGAGAGAGAGAGAGAGAGAGAGAGAGAGAGAGAGAGAGGGGCGCGCACTCGGTTGCAAACCGAGACGTGCGCCCGGTTGGCTTGTGCAAGTAAGCCGTCACATGAAAAAAAAAAAAAAAAGGGAGGGAGGCTAGCCCGTTTGGGCTGTGCAGCAGTGCCCACACGCCAAGCCTTGCTTGCTGAAAAGAAAAAAAACAAAACCCCGCAACTTTCGACGAACCCGAGGTTGTCTGAAGTTCGTCGAAAAATCGAGGGTCAATTTTCGGACCCCTAGAAATTGAATTTCGGCATGGTTTTTTTCCCTAAACACTTCTAAAAGATCGGAATAAAGCCAATAAACACATCTAAAACTTAAAAAATCATTTTAGTACACGAAAAAATAAAGAAAAATACAAAATCAAATCGGATTTTTTTTCTTTTTTGGCTCCGATCTACCTCGTCTAATTGCTTAATGGCTTGAAACCATCATGGACAAACTCAACTCTCAAAAATAAAAAAATCTAACAGACTTTCACCAACCAAAGTGGCCTAAATGAGCTTGGTCGGCGATCTCTCTCCCCTTTCCGATCTCTCTCTTCCTCTTAGCCTTCTCTCTCAACTCAAGGACCAAAATAGATGAGCAAATAAATATATGGATCGAAATATGCGTTCAAAAAATTTAGAGATCAAAGTGTAACAAAAAATCATGAATAGTAAAAATAATAATAAATTATAAGAGAGTAAATAGTAAATTATAAGAGCTTATACACTGTTTCAAACAGTAAACGGCAGAGTAAACTAGCGTTTTCCTTTAATTTATTAAAGTAATGAGAGGAAACATTAGAATTTTCGATGCGCGAAATAGTTTCTCATGGTATCGCTATTTGCCAAATCAGATGATTCATTTTGTCGCGAAAAAACGTCTAGACATGGAATTGTAAATTCGTAACTCATCCATGGCTCCTAATTCCTTGAAACGTGTAAATATATGTAAGAATAGGAGACCAACCTAATTTTCCTCTATCGTTTCTTCCTAGATACTTCCGTCCCTCTTAAAACCCTCTTTGTTTTCGAGCCCCAGACCCAAAAGAAACCCGAACAAAACCCTCTCACACGCTTGAGTTTCAACAGAGGGAGAGAGTTTTCAAAGCTTTTAAACAGGACCTTTTGATACTTTTCTTCTTTGAATCAAAAAACAGATCAATTTTTTTTTCATCTTCTTTTGTCAACTACACTCACACATACACAACATGCACCGTTAACACAAGCAAGCAAGCAACCTGTTGAAGATACAGACCCCCTTTTGTTTTTGTTTTTTTTTCTGGTTTTTCAGTGTTGAATTGAACAATGAAGGGGGAGGATCAAGCGAGGTCTTTGTTTGGGATTTCTTTATCTGATCGGCCTAAATGGCAACAGTTTCTAATCTGCTCTTCTGGGTTCTTCTTTGGTTATCTCATTAATGGCATCTGTGAGGTTTGTTTTAAGTTTTATTACTGTTTATCATCTTGGGATTTTCTTATGAAGTTGGAGATGTTGCTTGTTTCTTGTTTGACTTAGATGGCCAATTCTTGTTCTTGTTTTTCTTTCTTTTTTATGGTGTAATTGGTTGAATTTTTTATGTTATGAACGTTTGATCTCTACTTATTTCAAGGTTTTTGTTATACTCTGTTTGATTGCTGAGAATGAAACTAATGGAAAGCAAAGTTTTTTAGATTTTGGACTCGATTGATGACAAAGTCTCACAATTTTTGTTTTTCTCTGCAACCAAACAGAGGTGGCTGCGTGCGTTTTAAATTTGTGTTTTTTAAGTTTACTAAGTCAATTGTCTGCTTTTGGTCATTGTTTTGCTGAATTTTTTTTTTTTTTTTTTTGGGGGGTGGGGGGCGCGTTCCTTGTATACTATTTTAACCTTAAAATTATGATAATCGAATATTTCGATGTTGGTAAATATTTGGTTGGTTTTTGTTTGATTCTCATTTCTTTTAACCTTTGATCTAATAATTGACATTTCATATTTTTCATTGGCTAATTCCAGGAATATGTGTATAATCGGCTTCAATTTAGGTACATCACCATTTCAAGTATTTTCTAGTTTTATTCTGTTATGTAGTCATTCTTCTGCATATTTGTTTTTTCTCTTGGATTTTCAGCTATGGTTGGTATTTCACCTTTGTACAAGGATTTGTGTACTTGGTGCTCATACACTTGCAGGGTTTCACCCCCAAGCAGATGGTGAACCCATGGAAAACTTATTGGAAACTCTCTGCTGTTCTTATGGGTTCTCATGGGTTGACTAAGGGGTCCCTGGCCTTTCTCAATTATCCAGCTCAAATCATGTTTAAATCCACCAAGGTAAACTTAGTTCGTATCTACCTCGTCTTCTTTAAACTGATATTCTTGTCTTCTAATCTGATGTCCTATTAAGTTGGATGTGAAAGGTCTTGTTTTTTTAAGATTCATGTACATACAGAAGTAATTTGTTCGATTGAACTTTTGTTGGTTGCATTTGAATACGTGGAACTTTTGATGAAATTTAAGATGGATCTTGTCTCTTATTTCTCTAATATGCGAGTTTTGGTGATTTTGAGAATCTAGGTACTGCCAGTTATGGTAATGGGAGCCTTCATTCCAGGATTGAGAAGAAAATATCCAGTTCATGAATACATATCGGCCCTGCTTCTGGTTATTGGTCTGATCCTTTTCACCTTGGCAGATGCCCAAACGTCTCCAAATTTTAGCATAATTGGTGTTTTGATGATTTCTGGTGCTTTAATTATGGATTCTTTGATGGGTAATTTGCAAGAAGCAATTTTTACCATGAATCCTGACACCACACAGGTGATCACAATCTTCTGTTGGTACATGAATACAAAATTGATTTGGCAAAAAATTGTATCCCATTAGGCTTCTCTTTTGTTCTTGACAGATTGAGGTGCTGTTCTGCTCGACAGTTGTTGGATTGCCTTTCTTGCTTCCTCCAATGATCCTGACCGGAGAGCTGTTTAGGGCTTGGAAATCTTGTGCTCAAGTAAAGAAATATGCTCATATAATTATTTGTCTACTTACATGCATATATAAATTGATTTTAAAAGAAATCCTTTGTGTATGTGTGTGACTTTCAATGAAAATGGTTGGAGTCAAGTTACACAACGTGCTGGCTATGCGCAACCAAAGGACGTTCCTAGGGGAAATCAATGATTTGGTTGAAAGTCCACTTCATTAGTATAGTTATTATTTAATGATGAATACAATCCCCTGACTTAGTCAAGCCTCTAGTGGGAATATTTTCTAACAAGCTACTCTATTGGGGACAACTTGCTTAAAAAATTGGAATTCTATGCTAAAGTCTTGCAAAAGGGAGAGTTAAATGTTGATTGGATTGACATATAAAGAAAATAAGTTACTAAGAGGGTTTGTTTGGGTCTAAGGGGTCATGAGTAATTTTTCATGATTGAATATAAAAACAGATTCAAGATTTTTGTTACTCTGCTTAATTATTCTCCTGGTTTGACTTTGACCAATTTACAATAATGATCAGACTGTCGCTGCCTTAGATTTCCAAAATTATTCAATTTGAGCATCGCTACAACTTTTGTTTCTATGGGCAAGTTCATTTGATTATTACTGCTTTATGTATTGCAGCATCCTTATGTGTATGGGGTGTTAGTATTTGAAGCCATGGCGACATTCATTGGGCAAATTTCTGTTCTATCCCTCATTGCCATTTTTGGGGCTGCCACCACTGCCATGGTATTATGTCTGTTTCTCTCCGTCTCTCTGGATTGCCGTAAATTCTGCATTGTATTTCTCAACTTTGACTACGAACATTCTCTTGTGTTGGAATATCCAGTTTGGAAGCCTACTGGTGCATTTCACTGCTTTTTAAATGGGATTTAAAATGAGCTCATCAGAAATATTTCCACCACCTTCTTTTGGGATACATGTTACGTGATATATCTAACTTCTGGGTTCTGATTTGTACTGACTTGCAGATAACAACTGCTAGAAAAGCAGTTACCTTGTTGCTGTCATACATGATATTCACAAAGCCATTAACTGAGCAGCATGGAACAGGGCTGCTGCTCATCGCCATGGGAATTGTATTGAAGATGGTTCCTATAGATTATAAGCCCCCCAGTAGGAGTGCACCTAGACATGGGAAGTCCCATTTTAAAGAAGAGATGAACCTAGGAGATAGTAGGAAAGGCGAAGGAGATGAAGAAAAAAGGCCCTTGGTGTGAAGACCGAAGCCATACATTTTATTTTATTTTTTTGTTCTTTTTTTACAATTTTTCTGCGAATTTGTTCTTGGTTTCTCATTACAGCAAGGGAGGGCATGGATGATGAGGATAGGAATAACAAAAGTATATCAGATCAGGAAAGAAGATCGAGAATATGAATGTTAACTACATGTAATGTAAATTTCAGTGGTGAAACTGATTTACCTTTTTATTTATGTTTCTGAAATTGAATTTATTGAAATACAAGAGCAATATTTTGTATCTTCTTGTCCTCGGAGACCGGCTCAATAGGTTATGCACTTTTGTTAAGTTTGGTGATTAATACAGAAATGTATGGAGATCAAGGGGCTGATTGCTCTTCATGTAAACATGTCAGAAAACCATTTTTGAGCCTATATTAACTGGTATTTTATCTCGAAAGGTCCAGAACGGGGCAACCGCTCCTCAGCAGATATTGTGAGCTAATGTCCAGGATCAACCTCATGATCCATTTATGGCAATTTGTTTTTGAAATTTAGAGACATAAAAGTGGCCCCATCGAACGCCCCCAAGGGGCAGGAGGATGATCCCATCCCAGCCAGCCTGGCTTCAGCCCCTGATTTTCGTCAAATCTGGGTGCTACTGCTCAGCTCCACACTAATTATTAATATCGAATTAAGTTATTTCAGCCAGTAATGCTAAAAGTTAACATGAACAATCGGTATACTATAATTGGTTTCTTGATCTCATTTTGACAAACCAACCGTCTTGAACTGTTTGTTGCACTTACAAGAATTTTTTTCCTGACAAACCTCCCACGAATCGGAATCCAAAATGTATATTCAGTCTTATTAATCTAAGATGCCTTTTTTAATAGATCAGTTTCGGTTTTACTCTTAATAATCCTATTTTTTTTCAATAATTGTATGGGCTCAAATCCCATCCATGACAAGCTGGTAAATTTTTGAGGCCTATAAATTTGGCCCATCTAGCCCAAATAATTGATTCCATCCAGAAACTGTAATGGTGGGCCCAAAACAGTACTGTGCATCTGGGCCATGTGTCTGCAATATTCAACCGTCCCAATTGAAAGTTAGTTCCCCCACGTGATCAGACGGTCATAATAACCTCTTTTTTAGTAATTAAATAAGAGAAAGGCTTCTTTTTTTTGCTCAACCATAAATTTTTTTTTCCTTGTTTTTGTGTCCAACCCTTAATTTTTAATGATTTTCTAGTTAAGTTTTGATTTTTTATTTATTTTGATGCATGATTTCACTTGAGATTCAATTCTGTTAACGTGTTGACGAGAGCTGCTATATGATAGTCAGCTCTAGGCAAGTCAGCACCTCATACTCTAACATGACTGTGGCCACTCGAATAAAAAAAAAAACAATCATTGGGCATGAAAATGTAGTTTTCTCAATAAATTTCAACTTTCTTATACCAAATATTTCTTCTTTTTGTACTATGATTATCTCTTTCTTGTTATAAATATGTTTCATGCATATCTTGTACTTCTATATATATATATATATATATATATATATATATATATAATCTCTCAAAACTTCTTTTTAGATCTTAAAAATCATATAATTTTTAATTTTAAGAACTTCAGTAATTACATACATGTATATTTTTTTATTATTATGCAAATTGAATAAGCAATTTTAACAATATATTCATTTTTTAACTTAATTTATACTTTACTTATTCCATATAGCATTATCGTTATCGCTATCAAAAATCTTTTACTTTAAACGTTCAAATAAAAAAGTTTGATCACTAAACTTATTCATCTCGATTCTATCCCATCTTAGCCTCGCTATAAAAGGTTTAGTAAGTTATTGGCCACAAAGAGCTTATGTTACTTATTATATGTCAGTCAATCTTCTCATTAGACAAAAAAAATAATTGTTTTTGTAAATTTTTCTATTGACCAATCATTTGCTTTGCAAATGACAATTATAATTGAATCTTATATGTCTTTTGTTTTTTTAGATTTACTCTTAATTAGATTTTAAATATATTCGGACTAAATGACATAATATTAAATTGGTTTCGATAGATAAAGAGGTTTAGAATTTTAAAAAAATAATTTTAGTTGATACATAATATTAAAAAATTGCTTTTAATAAGTAAAAAAGCACTACGAGCATGATATATGTCACAAAAAAATCCATTCTTCGTATTATTCTAATTTTTACTTTGATTCTGATTAAGAAATACTTATTCTAAATAGTTATTTGTCAGAAATGATTTAAAGAATTTAATTTAATTAACTATTAACTTAAAGTTCTACTTAATTTATGATTCAAAAGAAAGAAAGCATGGAGCTGAAATAACTCGATCAAAACGCCTTTTAATAGATTATGAGTATAATTGGATCAAATAAGCTCTCGTGGAAAAAAAATTCAATTGCCCGTGAATCTTCTGATAGAAAATAGTTATTAGTTGTTGGACTGATTTTGTAATATTGAGACAATAAATTCTTCAAAATACTGTTTTTTTGGTATCTAATTTTTATTTTTTTTTCTATTTCAATATTTTATTTTATTTATTTATTTAAGTATCCATAATTATCTAAGAGCATGAGGTGCTAAAATGTCTAAAATTAACGTTATCTGATAGCTATTGTCAGACATATAAGTAAAATTGAATTTCAAGCCAAGTTTGGAACCAAAATAAATAAAATAATCGAAACTTGAATAACAAAATAATCGGACGTTAAAATAGAAAAAATAAAAAATGGGACATTAAAAAAGCCTTTCTCTCGTAATTAAATTAATCCCGAATTTTGAAAACGACAGCATCCTCTCCCTTAACCAAAAGCCCCCAAAAGAAAAAATAACAAATTCAAAAGCGAGAAAAACCCTATTTTGCTCTCCTTTTCTCCTTGCAGCTTTTCAAGAAAAGAAGACAATCATGAGAGGAGCGAAACGATTTGCCGTTTCAGACTCAGCTCCTGACTCGAATGACGCGGCAGTGAGTCTCTTAAGAAAACCCTAATTTGGTTGCACTTGATTTTCTTGTTTACTTGATAAATAATGTGCTTATTTGTGCTTTTAGAAAAAAGGTCTGTAGTTCTGCTTTGGTTTTGTAGCAATTAATTTTGGATTTTGAATTGTCAGCTGTTGCTTAAATTGGGATTTTGAATTTAATTTTTAGTTTTTGAGGAATTTAGTGTTTTAATTGATGTGGGTGTTTGGTTATCTATATACACACACACACTCACACAACTCAGTGGAAGTAGGACTAGAAGTTTAGTTCTTTTTGTTTTTGCTAGATGGTCTATGTATTTTATGTTAATGCATTTTAAGGTGCTCTAGTGAGGTTCTTGGCTGCACTAGTTCTTATATTTGAATGTTTGATATTGAGCTCATTGTTTAAGCAAAAGCAAAACTACGATGTCACTTCTGCTTTTTTTGTTAATTGCTGGCTTCTGTACTTTTCATGAAAAGAACAATCTATTTTACATCTTTTTGATATTGAGCTCCAATCATGTTTTGGAGGCTGATTGTGGGACATTCAATGATGGTTGCAGTTGCGGAATACAAGAATAATGGCAGGATCACTATTTGATGGTCATAGACCTGAACCTCCTCAGCAACAATCGACTCCATTGCCACCATTGGATGTGAAACGTGCTGAGTCATCACAGCAGCACGTGAGAGCTCTCAATAACCAATTTGCCAGGTCCATTACTTCCTTTGTTTTTGAACAATTTTATGTCTTCATTTATTGTCTGGTCAACTTAGTATTGGATGAAGATGCTGGGTTCTCTTGTTTGTGTACTTTCTTTTTCCTCATATTATTAAATTCTAAGGTCGAGTTCTTAGAATAACGAGAAGCATACTGCACTATGAAGATATGTATTTGTTGTCCTCGATCTTATAGACTTAATTTCTGGGCTTCTTTCAATTTGGAATAGTTGGGTTCAAGCACAACTGAAGAACCATCCCGATGAACTTTGGGAAGATGGGATTCGAGACTACATTGTTCATGCTTCAAACATTAAGGTAATATTTAACATCTTTTAGTATACATTAATAAAGGGTATATGCATGCACTTATGAATATAATGTAAAATGCATTTATAAAAGCTTTTATCTTCTTCTCTCTCTTTCCAGGAGAAGTTTAGTGATGTTGTCAACTGGCTTAAAGCAAATGCTGTAAAAGGAGGATCTGTCACCCACTCTCTTACAGCTGAAAAGAAATTAGTGCCTGAAATAAAGAATAACGATGGCAAATTACTCCAAGAAAAAACTGGGTTTGCTCTACCGAGTACCAGTACAAGCTTTACAAGTTCCTGGAGCTCTGGTGTCTTTTCTGCCAACCAAAGTCCTGGAGGAGTATCATCTGGTAGCCAAAGCTCTAGTTTATTCTCCAATGGTCAAAGCTCTGGTACATTTTCGAACAATCTAAGTTCTGGTTTGTTCTCAAACAACCAAAGCTCTGGATTCTTCTCGAACAATCAAAGCTTTGGACTCTCATCCAACAATCAAAGCTCTGGAGCGTTATCCAACAGCCAAAGTTTTGGAGCATTCTCCAACAGTCAAACTCCTTTCTCCATTAGTCAAAGCTCTGGAGCATTCTCCAACAGTCAAAGTTTAGGAGCACTCTCCAACAGTCAAACACCATTCTCCTTTAATCAAAGCTCTGGAGCATTCTCCAATAGCCAAAGTTTAGGAGCACTCTCCAACAGTCAAACAACTCTCTTGTTTGGTAGGTATTATACCGCCTTACTTCAATGATACACAGGTTATAAATTCACACCAGTAGTAGTAAGTCTCTAAGATGAATTATGTGCCAGAGAAAATAGACAAACATGTATGTGACGTTGGAAAATGTGCACCGTGCTTAAGTAGGAACTATAAGCGAGTCTTGGTTCTAGTTGGATCATCTAGATCAAGATATTCCATTATAGCTCACAAAAGTTATTATAATACCTGTGATATTGTGAACTGCTGCAAAATGTTATCTCAGATGGCCCACCAAAACTTGCTAAATTCACCTTGGTGTCCCATGGTGTGGGAATTGAGTCTCGAAAACTTTAAAATTTAAAGTCCTCTGATGAAGAGCTATTTGTTTATTCTTTTACATTTTTTCTATTTAAGGTAATAACAGACAGAGAGTAGGTGAGGGCAAGTCACTAAGAGTTGACCGTCCACAACTAGATAGTTCTCAATTCGGTACTCTTGGAGATGAGATGTGATGCTAATAAACTCTCACACTAGAATATTTTAGTTAATTAGTAGATGCAGGCATGACACTTGGTTGTTTGTTCTGCTGTGATTTTTTTACATATATTAGTCACTTATGTTGCTTTTGTGAAAGTGACATGAAATCTGACTTTCCTTTTTTCTTATTTTCTATTTTAGGAGGTCAAAGCTCCATCCCAACAAACCATAACACTGCAGATGATGAGGAAGATGGTGAACTTTTGTTTCCTTTTTGTTGTTGGATATTCTCTTAAGCTATTACTTTAAGTTAAACCTGCCATGCATTTTATGATGATCATCAATTGGCTTCTTTCTTGTGCATGCATGTTTTACTTCAGTTAGTCATGTTATGTGCTTAAGTTTGAACTGCACTTCTTATCTGTATCACATACTGGTATTTGAAATTTAGTTTCAAGTCTTCGAAAAATTGGTAGGTTTGTGAATCAAAACCTTATAACTGAAAAGGGAACTCCTTCTCGTCTGTTCCTTTTGGACAGCTGGATCAGATACTTGTGGAGTTTATTAATCATAAGATATTGAATTTATTCAGTTGGAAGCCTGATGTTTTTCAAGATATAAAGGAACATGCTGCAAATTTAGAATTCATGTTGATCTGGAGGTTAATGTCTGTGATCATGAAATCCGTTTTTCTCAACTTTTGGGACTGTGGAACTGCCACTTTTAATAGATTAGATTTTAACTTTGAACTTGGTTACAAAAATATTGGAAGAGGATAGTTGAGCGTATTAAAGTAACTCTTAGGAGTTTACTATATTTCTGGAATATTTGTTGTACTTACTTCTCTACAGCTGAAGCGGACTAAATGATTGTTCTTGTTTACTGGAAATGTAGACATTAATCATTAAACATCTATCAATTCTTATGTTTCTTGGATTTGATCTGTTGTGTTATATGTATGAACTTTGAACATTTTTATCCTGGTTAGCCAATCAACTGTCTCTGCTTTGTGAAGTTTGTGCTTTCATGATGTTGGTCTGCTTTACTGGTTCTAGCACTGATCCCATTTTGAAGTTGGATTTGCACAAATTGTTTGCATGTTTGTTAGAACTTTAAAATCTTACATGGTAGATGGTTCTTTTTTATTATAATTTTGATAAATAGTTCCTTGTAGTCTCGAACCCGCTGCCCACTCGTGTGTGTGTGTGTTTTACATAGATCTTAAACCCTTTTCTTTTACCAGAAAATGAATTGCAGCAACCTGGCAGTCCATCTGTGAAGAAGTCTGAAGAGAAGGGTATTGTTACAGTCCATGAAGTCAAGTGCAAGCTTTATGTGAAGGTAATTGACCAGTCATATTGTACTCATTGAGATTGCATTTCAAAGTTTCTATTTCTGGGATTAGGCTGTGCGATGTATCAGTTTTAATAGTAGAAGAAAGTTGTCTTTTTACTTGCACAGACCAGCAAATTTAACCCCCCAACTTTTTTTTTATGAAATTAGTTATTTTGGTATCTAATATTTCTATCTAATGCTATGTATTTCTGTTTAACATCTTAAAAATCTCTTGAATGATTGTTGAAGTAGAGATCATTTCATATTTCATGCATTCCATGAAATTTTTAAGATTCAGTATTAGATATTTAATATTACAAATAACAAAAAGATTACAAGTAATGGTTAAAAAAACTTTGAACCTAAATCTGTATTTGTGATTTCAATTATAGAGTGTGCTAATGTTTCTATCTAGTGCTATGTATTTATGTTTAACATCGTAAAAATCTCTTGACTGATCTTTGAAGCGGAGATCATTTCATATTTCATGCACTCCGTGAAAATTTTTAAGGTTCAGTATTAGATATTTAATATTACAGATAACAAAAAGATTATAAATAATTGTTTCAAAAGCCTTGAACCAAACTCTGTATTTGTGGTTTCAATTATAGAGTGTGGCGACGAGTGGTGCTTCAATTTTCCCAAAACCAGAATATCCACGATTCTAAGTATAGCAGTTGTTAATATGTATGTGTTGTTGTGATTTGAGTTTGGCAGTTCTGTATTCATCTTGAAGTAGTGGCAATGCTGTCCCCATTCTGTATTAAATCATATGATTCTCTGACAGCTCATGCTTTTGTGAGACACATTATTGTGCCTTGCTTATGTTCATAGTTGATCTGCTGGATGAATTGAGAATTGAGCTGATCTGTATGTCAGTCAAGTCTTGACTTGCATCTCTTGCTTGTGCTGCCTTCTGTGGTTAAATGATTGCTTTGGTTTTGTTCTCTTGATATGTTCAGTCAAGTGATCCGGCAGATAAAGACACATGGAAAGACAAAGGCCCAGGGCAGCTTTCCATCAAATGCAAAGAGGAGATTAGCAAGGGCACAAAAGAATCTAAACCAACAATTGTTGTTCGAAATGATGTATGTTCGATACGATTAGGCATTTCTTTGCTTTGACAGATTCATTGTAGTGTTTTAGTTCAAATTTTCACTTTAAGAACTTCTTTTAACTCTTTTTTGGACTTACTGTTTGTAGTGTTTTGCTGATGGCAGGTGGGGAAAGTGTTACTAAATGCTTTGCTCTATCCAGGAATCAAGACAAATCCACAGAAGAATTCCCTTGTTGCAATATTTCACACTGCGGTAATGCATTCTAATTCTTTATATTTACACTTCTATTGGCATATAAACTTTTGCCTGGTTTAGCCATGACCTGCAAATATTTACAGAATCACGTAACCAACACTTACAAGGCTTCTGTAATGGGTGATATTAATCATAGTATTTAATAATGTATTGTCTCTATCAGGGAACTTAATGGCCAATGATTTTGTCTTATTGTAGGGTGATGATAGCGGCAATAGTGATAGTGTTGTGGCACGTACTTTTTTAATTAGGACAAAAACAGAGGACGATCGAAATAAGCTAGCGACAGCAATCCAAGAATATGCTCCCCGATCATGATAGTTATTATAGGAACTTGATTCTTAAAATTTTGCAGCAATTTGGCTTGTTAGGAACTGAGTCAGCTTGTTTTGGGCCTCCAAAATAACTGGGGTCAATTTTCAGAACTCGGACCCCATGAGATAAAATGTATTTCTATTACTTGTATTATAATAGGAGAAATAAGAATGCTATGTTTTGTTTCAATCTTAAATCATTATTATCCTTTTCTAGTTAATTTGTTCATTTGATGAATGGTCATACGGTCATAGAATGACTTGCATTATTCCATGGTGTCCAAATGCCTTTAGTGTATGCAATGCTAACAAATCTTCTATCTATCTCTATTGTGTATTTGAAGGCAAATAAAGGCAAGAAATTGTAAGCTCTCCAGCATTGGGTGCTCACAGCCTTTAGATCTGGTAAGTCGGTAACATATGTAACAACAGACCATACAATAATCCACGAAAGGGAGGTTTCCTCGTTAAGATGTATGGGAGTTCGAAATATAAACATGTGCTACCTCTTTTGTATACTCGCATTTGGTAGTTCTTTACAAACCGGAGAATCACTGATTCAATAATACCTTGTCGGTAAATTAAGCCACAGATCTATCATCGGAGTTCAGTTCCTCACATCGCCAAAACTTTTTGGATCAAGTTACCATGTCAGTCATTATTAGAACCCGTTAATATTGCAAAAATAATCTTTCCCAAGCGCCTGGCCGGAGGACGAATTGTATATGCACTCCTCTAGCATACAAGTGATAATCTAAGCGATGGGGCGGTAGGGATGTGCGTGCATGATGCCCAGCGAATAACCGATTCAGTGACCATGATATTAAATTGATCAAGCTCGCCAAGCCCTATAGTGTGATGCCTTCTGCTGCTGTGGATGCTAGATAATTTAGACCCATTGAAACCTTCCCGTCGAAATTCTATCTTCTGCATCATTTCACCTATTCCACGGTGAACTGGAATGAAAGTATCTGATAATGCAGGGAGCTTCCCTAAGACCGGTTCTGCACCGGCCAAGAAAGAGAGCTTTAATTAGTAATTCATGGGCAAATATACTAAATGGATTGAAGTTGATATTGTAGAGAAGTGGAATCTGGAAAACTTTAGTGACCTGCCATTGCTCTCATATGTAGAGCCAAAAGAAGCCGATCCTTTTTGGAAAATGTTTGTTTTCTAACTAGCAGTTTTAATTATGTCAGAAGATGGATGTGGATGCCTATTCATCTAATGCGTGTTAACAATGATATTACAAAAAGAAGATTGATGAAAGCAACATACATACCTGCATGAATTGTGTTCAATTTCGACTCACAAGCTTTAGAACCAAACAAGAAATCTCCTTTCTCAACTGCAGTGCTAGGACTGAAGAAAGTGAAGCTTAGCATTGATGAGACTGGGGATGAGAACTCTATTGCACCTGATTCGTCATGGTTGCTAAAAGAAAAACCTCCAGTTGCAGAGCAAGGGGTGTTGTCGCTAACTAGGAAGGAAGAAAATGACGATGTGAGTGTAGGAGATTGCCCCTGTTGATCCTCCCCAGTAGGCGATTCATAGGTGAAGCTGTAGGCTTGATCCCTGGCAATGAATGGGGTAGAGAAAGAACCTCCACCAATTTCTAGCTGTCCACAATTAAGGTTGTTCTGCAGGTAGGATTCTGGAGCTAGTTGTGCAAAATCCTGCACCCAGGAGTGAGCTGCAAAACACAGTAACCCCTGATATAATCAAAATCCAATGGCTGGTGGACTGATATTCAAACAAATCAAAAGCAGGGGCTTTGGTTTTTGATATGTTATGCCAAAAGGATCAAACATTTGGTATAAATCAAGCAACTGTTGCAATGAAATGCTTAATTCTACTAGTTGTTTATAAAGAACTAACAATTACAGGAGAACAGTTTATATACCAATTGCATGACATAATGATGGCCTAATTGATACTGTCTTGAAAATAATTCTTTTATCCTCGAAAAACAATGCGATCTGAAAACCTTTTTTTCACTTACTGTTTTGGCAGAACAGTATACCAAAATGATGTGCATCAACATACCTAACACTTGTGCAGCATTAAGCCTCTTTGAAGGATCTTTACACAGCATACCAGTGATCAAGTCCTTTGCAGATGCAGATATTTGATCCCAGAATTCGGGAGGGAACCATAGTTCTGCAGCCTTGACTGCATCGAAGATCCTTGACTTGGTCTTCCCCCAAAATGGAGGCATCCCACTTAGAAGAATGTAAAGAATAACACCAGCACTCCACACATCAGCAGCCTGGTTATAACCTCCAGACAGTACCTCGGGAGCAATGTAAAATGGACTTCCAACTGTCCCATGCAAACTATGCCCTGCAAATGCAAAAACCATGTGCATAGAAGGGAAAAGGGTCAAGAAAGAACCTAGTATCGATTGCAGGAGCAGATGAAACAAAGGTAGAATCCTCACCAGGTTTGATGTAAGTTGCAAGACCAAAGTCTGCCAATTTGATTGGTGAAGATAAAGATTTAGTGGCTAAGAGAATGTTTTCAGGCTTCAAATCTCTGTGAACAATGCCATTGTCATGACAGTACTGAACCACTTGCATCAAATGTCTAAAGATAACCCGAGCATTGTGTTCTGAGAACCTACCATGCTTTTCAAGTCGGTGAAAAAGCTCCCCACCTGCACACAATTCCATCAAAAGATGCACATAATCCTCCTCCTCATACACTGCCTTGAGATTCACAACATTTGGATGCCCCGATAACCTACTCATTATTTCAATCTCAAGGTTTACACTACGCACATCATTGCGGGTGGCCAATCTATCTTTAGCGATAGATTTGCAAGCTAAAACCTCACCGGTCAACTTATCTGAGCATGCCCTTATGGTACCGAATTGTCCCCACCCCAACTGCTCCCCAAGAACATACCGATCCTTCAAGTTTGAGATTTCAGTCGAGTCCAAAATTGTATCAGTCAGGCTGGATATTCTGTAGCAATGGCAAGATGTTGAAGGCTGTGTAATGTTGTCGCTGTTGGCTATGTCCATACCAAAAGGGCACAATCTTAATTGCCAGAAAACATTAGTAAAAATTCACTTCAAAGCCAACTGTATCGAACCGCAGTATCATGTGTCCTTTATGGCACTCCAGCATCTGAGTTAGCAGTCTTTCGTCAAAGTTGAAAACAAACCACCTGAAACTTATACGTGGATAAATCATCCAGAAGAGGAGCTTTCCTAGACCCAAAGTGAATCTTTCATTATGAAGTAGATTGTTGTACACAACAAACCCTTTAAATTTCAAAGAGAAATTGCTGGAAAGTTTCAGAGTATGCATCAATCACCTGTACACATCATAGAGTATCTAAAGTTCAGTTTAAGTTGATCAAATCTCAAAATTCTTTCCTTTTTTTTTCCCCCTTTCTTACATGATCTATAGCTTAAGAATATTATCACTCAACAAAAATCTAAACAAAACCCGTACTGCAAATTTTCCTTAAATATGTAAAACTAGAATCGACCCGAGCAAAGAGTAAGAGAGAAGTAATCCCCAAGCACAATTCAACCTCACCATATAAGAATCCTCCAAACTAAAACTTCAAACTCAAAGATCTGTACAAAACTGCCCAAAACTTTTGGAGGAAAAATAAGAATAGAACAAAAAAGAAAATCCAGAAACAAAAACAAATTCCATGTCTTGCACCAAAAAAAAAAAAAAAACACCAAAAGCAGATACATTTTAACAAGAAAGAGAGGAAGAGACTGACCTGTTCCAACGAGCATTGAAGAGAGAAGACAAGGTCAGTTATAAGAAAGTCTAAGGAATCCAAAAAACCAGTCATTGGCTTTCTCTTTTGGTTCACAATCTCATCTTTTTTTAGTTCAAAACTTCTCTCTTTTCTCTGTGACCGGTGACAGGAAAAAAGTTACACCTTTACCACTTATATTTGACACGTGTCCTTAGATTTGGTGGCAAATTATAGGTTCTCTCTCACTTTGCAGCAATTTAATTACAATTAAACGCTCACGTGGATTTTGTACAGTACAATCATTATGACTTACGAGCTTGCATACCCAAACTGCAGGTGAGACACACACCATTGCCCTTATTCCGGCTTGTTTTATATATAGAAAACTTTATATATATATATATATATATATATATATATATAAAGTTTTCTTATTACGAAAACTAATTATTTAGTTTCTATATTTTTAAATTTTTTATATCTTAATCATTTTAGTTATATTTTGATTTTTTTAAAAAATAAAAATGATTTATGAGAAAGATTATTTTTTAAAAATATAATAATATTAAATTAAATATGATTAATTTAATCAAGAAATTAGTTTTAAAAAAATTAATTGATTCATTTTTTTTCAAACATAAAGAGACTAATTTATAATTTACTCGAATTTTTAGAGTTTAAGGTTTCTTCTAGTTAATTCTTTTTTAAATGATAATGACTCTAGTTAGTTTTTAGTAGAATATTCAAATGTGAAGTGTTATATTCAAGAAAAATTTTCTTTTAATATAAATTTAAAAAATATTGTGAGGCTCGAAGAACAAACTCATTCACCACCTTAATTAATCAATGCATGCTTGGGGTTGCCTTTTGTTTCTTAATTCTAGGAAACTTCTCTTGCAATTTGTAACTTGTTCATCCTTAAAAAAAACATTTTTTCTTTTCAACGTGGAAGAATATTTAGTGGAGGGGGGCTTACACAGTTGTGGTGAGTGGGACCAAGAAAGAGAATCAACCAATTGTTGGATAGACTGTCATGATCACGTCACCACGCCTGACCTTTCTAGAGTGCCACGTGAGCTGTGGTGAGTGGATAGCAGCAGTTTTAAAGGTGCAACTTTTGGTGCCTATATTTTTTCCTAAGTAAAGGCAGGCAAGATCCTAGCTGTGATTAGCTGTACTTGTAGGTGCATTATTATTATTTTTTATTTGACTGTAGTTGTATTTTTATAGTGCGTACGTGCCTAGTTGAGCATAGGAGAATTCTTTTGGATTATATATTGTGTTGTTGGCATAAAGTTTAAGCGGAAAGCATAAACCTCACCTCACCTCCCAATCCAATCTGTGAGAAAACCATATTGGCTAACTTTATTTTCTTCCCTTCCCTCTCAGCCTTTTACTGTTTTTATATAAATTTATTCTTCCCAAATTTTGGGACTTCTCATACATGATGGACCTAATTGCTATCTTTCTTTCTTTTACTCCATCTATGGAATCAATCAATCGTCGTCGTGCAGAGTGATGCTTATCATTGCAAGGTGTGGAAAAAGAGCAGCAGTTTTTAAAATATTGGACAGCTAACTCTCTTCTTATGTGTAATAAAAATCCGACATAACCACAAATCTCATTTATGTGAACCAAACTAATCTATTACTACAAACATCCACTATACCAATTATTAATAATAATGAGTTTCATTCCGCCAATTAATCAGATTTCTAGTAAAAAAAAAAATTTAATTAATTAACAATTGAGAGAATATTTTCTCAGGCAAGTGGAATGTGTTTTTTGTTATCTATATCACCGGACAGGATTGCAAGAGACGGCAGGGAAATGGTTCGATGATTTCTTAGACAAGGAATATATTTATATGGTTTTTTCTTCTATGATTTCAAGTTATTGTAACTTAAATGAAATTTATTTTATTTTTTGTAATGAATTACATAAATAAAAACACTTTTAACTGTTTTTTTTTTTTTTTTTGTGAAAAAAAGGTGAAGTAATTACCAATTACTTGAATTCATTGAATCAATCACCCATCTATTATTCGTTTGTACCTACTTGAAATGGAAGAAACGAGTTTTTTCAAGTTAAAAATTCACTTGAAGGCATCCCTTCAATAGTAAAATTATAACAATAATTTGTTGATTTTTCCAATTTATTTTTTGGTATCATGCTATGAAAATGCCAAATGCGAGTGACCAAACTGATTTACAGCTATTAGCTTATGGTAATGGAATTAATAAAGGGGATGAATGCTTTAAAGAATGGTGGATCGGTTAAACATGTAATCTAGCTAAACATGTATGCGTTTAAAGCCTCATAAGTAATCTGGCTCGAGTGTCCTAATATTGGGTTTTGACAAATTCTAGATTTCCATGGTTCAGAAAAGAAAAGGATGGCACTTCCTATGATTAAATTGGGAGTTAATTAGAAATTAGTCTTTCTAGTTTATGAAAATTAATTAATTAGTATATTTAGTATCAAAATAATTAAATAATTTTTTTACTGACGTTGACAATACTTGATTCAGTTATTTTTTCTTCCAAAAATTTCTTCTTTTTCAATCAAAATCTCCCATCTTACTCGCTTCTATTTTCCTTTTTTCTATTTTTGCAAAAAGAAGAGGAAAATAAATTGAGGAAAAGGGCTAATTTATAAGTGGATTTTAAAATTACAGGGATGAAATAATATTTTTGAAACCTACGAAAACTAGTCGATTAATTTTGTCAAACTAAAGGGACTAATTTATGGTCTGGTGTATATACCGGAAACGGAAGTAAATATTCATGACCTGCCACGTGGACAAATAAATTTTATTAACTTGCCATGTGTATTGCTGATTAAGTTTTGTTTTTTTTTTTTTGCCAACTGAACCAATCGTTTATAGCCATATGTCTATAATAGATTAATATTCAATTACTATAAAGATACATGTATTTGATTTTTTATTAATATATTACTTGGAAAAAATGCATTAACGTGGTTTTAGAGGAGAGAAATTACTGTTTTTTTTCTTTTTTTAACCAAAACCTTTGAATGAATATTTTTCAAAATATATTTGTTGTTAATTATTTTGTTTAAACCAAAATAAATATTGTGTTATAAACTTTATATTAAGATGTATACCACTTTTTTTTTAAGTGTAAAACGAGTAAAAAAACAAAAATATATCGGATATTGTTTCAACCAATCTCAAAGTCATTTACTGTATTAAAAATTTTATGATAATACACGAATTGGATTGGATTTTTGTTTACACCCTTATAGTATTTCAATTAAGTCATTCATTAGTAAAAATCTAAAAATAAATGATTATATGTGAGATATGTTATTGATGGCTATAATAGATGCAATTTTGATCAATGTTATCCGAATGATAATTATATTCGTAAAAAAAAATGATGATGATGATTATAAAAATAAAAGAGATGATGGTTGGGTAGTTGTGACAATGATTATGAAACAATAATGATTATATCGATTATAGGTGTTTATAATGACAATATTGATAGTAACGAGATAATAGTAACTATTTTGATATATGTTAAGAGTTTTTTTTTTTTCCCATCATGTTTAATTCTAAATATTGACTTCTTATACTAGAAAAAATTAAAAGTTGTAAATAATTGAACCAAATGTTTTAACAGCTTGCTACGTAGAGCGCTCATGTTTTTTTTTAATTATTATTATTATAAACTTGTAATGAAAAAGTCAATAATTGATTGTCATATTCATAAAATATTTCAATATTTGATGATAAAAAAGCATTTGTATTTGTTTTTTTTTAATTTGTATATTTTCAATGAATGAAGAAAAAAAATTAGCGACAACTCTTGAAGAACATGAATAAAAAAATCATAATAAATATTAACTGTACCTAACACTTAAATCTCTCTCTCTCTCTCATGTATAACGCAGTCATTTGGGTATGATCGACTCATAATTCAACATTTGCATGACCCAAACCGATCTCCGCAACACGGGGCTATCTACTAATTAACTCTTAGACTGCAAACTAGTAAGATGCCCGGCAAGGGACAGAAAGTGGTGTTTGCTCGAACTTAAATGCTACGTACTCAAAATAGTTTGGGCATAAAGTCCCCTGAAACGACCAGAAAATTCAATGCCAAAATGTACTTTTGCTTCCTCATTCAATTAACAAGTGGTAGGACCAAATAAAGGGCGTAAAAGGAGGTGGAAAAATAATCCCATTTTAGGTTCATTAAGTCTAGGCAGTTGGGCAGGTAAAGGAAATGGTGGCTTTGGTTGTGGGATAGGGATGTCAATTAGATTCTGCCTGGGTCAAGTGAGACAGCCTGGCCCATTGTGCGGTTAACTCAGGTGTACAGTACCCTATGGGCTCGATGGTTTTAGCAGAACGAATTGAACCCAGATGTAAGTAAGTAGCTGTCAAGAATTCCCAGCACTGCTTAATTATGAATTTCCTATATTGTTTAATTATGTTATTCAAAAAATAAAAATAAAAATAAAAAATCATATAAGGTAATAATGCTCTTTTATTGGTTATATTATATCATTTATCCTATAGCTACAGAATTCAATAACTATTTAAAGAATATATATTTGTATTAACGAGGAATCTTTGCATCCGTCAGGATTCCAATGGTGATCGATAAACATGAGGAAAGGACATAAGATATATGGGCATGTCCCTCACTTGTCTCACTGCAAATGGGAAATTTGAACAATCTGAAAATAACAGCAACTTAAATATTTTTTTGGCCAAATAGTTTTAAATAAAATAAAATTAAAGATAATTCCGACTCGAAATTGAATAGGCCCGCTTCTTAGCTAGCTTGTCATGTATTCACGGATCGCAACATTATTTCCCATCTTTTTTGCCATTTCATCACTCTTCGTCAACACAGGGTGTATTTGGTGGCAAGGAAATAAGTGTGAAAAATTAGGATGGGATGACTGATGATGAGTCGTCACCTCAATCAAAGACTACGCGTGTTGGGTTAGTGTAGCGTCTCATCATCCCAAAATACTCCATTAAGATTATTAACCTCT